ATAAACACACAAGATAATTTCAGTTAGTGATAACCACTATGACAAATGTAACTCACACAAGCTGAAGAGAAAAAGGAATCCACTGGATCATGTTTAACTAGGAAATTCAAACATTGGGGCAGAGAGATCCAGGGGCTCAGCAATGCCCTGAGGCCCTTGTTCTCCCCTTCTCAGCTCTGTCTGGCTGTGATCTGCAGACAGGCCCTATTCCTTGTGGCCGTTAAGATGCCCACCAGCAGCCCCAAATCCTCAGGCCCTGAGCTTAGCAATCCTGATGGAGAGAGAACTTCTCTCTCTGAACACCAGTAGAGCAAATCCAGTGGAAAACTCTGGCTGCCATTCTTAGATCGTCCCCCTGTGGACTGGGGATGGGTTCTAAGCTTGGTCCAGCCTAGGCTATATGCCTATACCTATGGCCCACCAGGACTACATGAAACACGCAGAGAGCTCCCCAAAGGACGCTTTAGGGGTGCTGGGTAGAAAAAACAATTGTTGATGTTAGTTTCCACTGAGTCAGCTGCAACTCATGGAGACCGTATGTATAATAGAAGGAAACGTTGCCCAATCCTGCACCATCTTCATGATGGTTTGTATGTCTGAGTCCACTGTTGCAGCTATTGTGTTAATCCATCTCACTGAGAGTTTCCTTCATTGAAATCTATAAACAATAAATGTCAAGATGATGGCTACTAGGTGTTTTAACAGGCTTAAAACTATGAAACCTGGCTCCCTACACTGTTTCAAAGTAGCGGGTTTTTCAACTTCACGCCTGGGTGACTGAGGATATCAAACCTCCACACGGTGTCAGATTTGTCTGTACTAGACATACTTTTGAATACCAGATAGGAAATCTGCTCATAAAATTGGCAGAACGCTCCAGAAATGCAATTTGTAAAACAGATTACAATCCTCTGGTCCCTCTGAAACTTTTTGTTCAGGACACAGTATTTCCGTGGGACAGTCTGCCAAAATTTATCTTCTTCATTTTAGCCACATACTTTGCAAATGGCCATCTGAAACTAAATGAAGATATCTCAGTAGAAGTTCTATATTTAGCTCTAAATTATAAAATAACTTAAGAGATGGTACTTGCATTCTTCTTACCAAAAGTTCATTCACTTTCTTCCAGAATCTTCCTGGTCAGCTAAACCAACTGGACAAGTAATATTTCCTTAGACGGATGGATTCCTGAGTAAATGATTGTTGCTATACTCTCCACAGCACAAGGCAAAGGATTCATATTAAATGAAAGTTTCTTAATACGTAGAAAACTCATCTAAGATCTAAAGCTTGGACATCCTTGCTATGAGAAACTGCTCATTTTTACAAGTAGAACCATGCAACCATGAGTAAGAGGTAGTGCTGTATGCCAGTTTAATACGAAACATCTTTTATTTGGAATAATACAATTAAAGCCAAATTTCCAAAACATCGTCAAGAAGGCAGATGTGATGCGTGTATCTTAAAGCCACAGTTCCCCTTGACAATTGAGACACTCTTGGGTATTTCAAATCATCGAGAGTGAAGCAAAATCTTCAAGACAAAATTATTTTTATATCAATTGTATTTGAGAACATATATAAATATGCCATATAACACGCAAGCCTGAGAGGGTTGTAATCTTTTTTAAGAACGTTAACAGTCCAAAAAGACTAATAATTATTGCTGATTCAGCTCACAGTATTAGCCCTCTTCAAGCAGCAGCAGGGTCACTAACAAACATTTTATGGGCACCTTTTACAGGCATCAGAGAGTCACAGAGCGATGGGCCACAGGCCTGCCCTCAAGGAACTTACAGTGTAGCTGGTGAGATAAGAAACTCACAGAACGGACACAAAAAGCTGGCTCCAAGTCCACACCTCTATCACAAGAGCAGCCACTGGCACAGTCGTCACATGTTTTAACAAATGATTCATAGGAACAGCGATTACATGCTATACCAAGTTCCAGCTCCACATATCAAAAAAAAAAATTTTTTTTTAATTTAGTTAAGTTATATTTGTGTTCACTCATATTTAACTCAACTGAATTAAAAAAAGGAAAACATAATTCCAAACCAACTGTACAATAATGCTTACTCTCCTAAATGGAGGAATGGATGGTTCCTGTTCTAGAATGTCTCCATGGTTCCAGATCCTGATGTCCAGTTCAGTAGTTTTTACTGCCAAACCGATGTACAAATTCTGACAGCGTGTAGACAGCTCCCCATCCTACCTCAGGATTCATGCTGATAAAATCATTCAGGTTCATTTTGGAATCTAGAAAAACACATGAAAAAGTTTTCTACTGAAAACACAGCTTTGGTTCAACAGACACTAATAAAACAATGCAAAGGGCCAAAGGGAGGGAAAATTATACAAATGAATAAGGGTACAATATCACTTCTGTGGTATTCTTACTCTAAATGCATAACTTCAATCTAATCGTGACAAAACATCAAACTGACACTGAGAGGCACTCTACAAAATAACTGCACTCTTCAATAGTGTAAAGGTTATAAAAGACAAAAAAAATTGTCCCAGATTAGAGGAGACT